TTAAATCACAGATAATCTTGCCAACTATGAAAAAACTTGTCAAAACATTTTTCGTCCTATATTCTGCATCTTATTTAGTTATATTTATATGGCTTTTTTATTTTGTTCACTTCTATGCAATATTCATTTATTACCTTTTCTATAATGCCTCTCAAGACACTGTTTTTCCCAGGTATTACGTCAGACCATGGAAATTCTTTCCCAAACTTTTAAACCAAACTATTGTTTGGACCGTATTGTGATTAACCCACACTTCCCACTACATCTTTCGTTATTGTGTATCAAAGGCGAATTCTTGTTCCGCTAATCACCATGTTGAAGATTGAGGTGTCGTCCATGACCATGAATTTTGCTGAATGTGATAGGAAAGAGAGAGTTTGGCTTAACGAAGTTCTCCTTTGCAACGATATTATTTTTCAGAGTACAGTATTAACATGAATGAACTACGTCGAAGTAATTAACCAATCATCAACCAAATGATGAAACTATTGATAAACAACAGAATTTAGTTAGGTGTGAATTGCTTCTTGATGTGCGGCATCATGTTTGAGCTTCTACTTGATAGGTTCCGAGAAAATAAACAACAAAACAAAAATTACCATCCAAATGACCAACCAATTCGTTGAATAATAACTAACGATAAAAATTACAAGACAAAAACTGAATCGGAGACTGTACATTTTTCCTCTGCACATACAAATTAGGATTTTCTTAGAAACTGGTGGAAGCATTCTCTTTGTTGTTACTGCTCCAAGATTTTCTTGACAAAACTTCATTGTAAGCCTTTTCGAGAGGATGTTTCTCACTGTCTTTGTTGTTCAGGACTAATGATGTTGTCTATGCATATCCGTCTTTTTCTTGAAGACAATGAGTGAACTAATTTTATATTTTCTGCAAATGTGTCCATGATTCATTTCATGTTGGCTTCGCATGAATGGGTTTTTACAGAGAGGTGTTATATCTTCTGCTCGGTGAAACATCCGGGCAGTAATACTAAGAGCCTACCACATAATGTATTGCAAATCTGATTGTCCACTGGCAAATACAAATATGTTAGGCTTAGATTCTAAGCTCCTTTTCTATTGGAAATAATTAACACCTCAAGCATTTATTACTTATATAAGTGCAACTTTTCAACCATCCACTGTAAAGTGCTGTTTTCGAATAGCAGGCCAAAGACGAACTCATGGCTTCACCATTACATTTTCTGTGCAAACTGTAGTTAAATCTTAACTTAATGTTAAGGATACAACACAGAAGCAGCTGTTTCAAGCAATACTTTAGAGTTCAAGTGTTGAAATTGATAACCTGCTGTTGATATTTCAGACCATTAGCTTACTTGATTATGATTATTTTTCTTTCCTCATCTTCTTTCCATCTGCCAGACAGACAACCGAGCATGATACTTTCTGTCTAGAAGTCATTTAACTCATGGAAACTTATGCTTCTTCCATTACTTTCATAATCCATTGCATTATTGGGTTTTCATCTCAACATATTCATTCATACTTCCATTCCGCTTTCATGTATTGCCTTATTAATAGCATCTAACTTTATTGCTCAATCATTCCAATGGTTATAAATACAGTTGTGCAGTTTTGAAACTGAATATCACTGGACAGGAAAAATTCTCTCTATGAAGTTGTTTTCTTCCATATTTATAACGCTGTATGTATGCGCAATTTTGAAGCCCAAAGAGTGAAATCGTCAACCAGAGATTGCTTTACCGATTTACTGGTTTCAATTTTTACGCCTCACTGTGTATTATATGTATTTTGATAAGTGTATATAATGAAGAAAGTTTTACAGTTTCCACCTCCCATTTCCCACAAAATATCTTTTAAATTGTATCCCAGCAGTAAATTGAAACATTTAAGTCACAAATGTATCTTTATTGAAGCTAAGGACTATATAGATGAGGTTGAAATTTTGTGATGAACCTTACTGTTCATAAGGTGTATGTGATGAATAAAAGTCTATGGAGAAACAGTGCGCTTTCCTTAATATGTGTAGCTAAGTCGGCAGAATCAGGTAGTGCAGCAACCTGTCCTTATCTCATCACTTTACTAACTGTCGACTGAAGAAGGTAGTTTAAAGCTCAAATGAAAAGTAGGGGGTTTAAATATTTATTGCTGTTTTGTTTGATATGGCTTAGAATAAGTTTCAAATATCTGAAGTTTGTTTATTTCCCTGAATATATAATCAGTAAATAATGCCTGCTTTGTTTCCCTAATGTTGTATTCCCTGCTTTCGATATTTTCTTCAAGTGGCTCACTAATCCTGTTACATTCATTTCCTGTTTTAATTTCATCGTAACCTTACACTTTTTATAGTCATCTACTCATATATCTATTATAGTCCGGATTTCAATTTGTACCCTTTGTCTGTAACATACTCTTACAGGCAAAGCGGACACAAAAACTCAGCTGTTGTATATGCATCAGTAGTTAATTAGTCTGTCAGAACTCTGCAAATGCTTGGACGTATGAGAAACTCAAATTTAGGTGCTCATAGTGCTGAGACCTTAACTAATTTACTCACACAATGGATTGGTTTTCTACTTACTGTCATCATGGAACGTCTCCGAAAAGTCGAAAGTAATTCCTCGACTTTTAATCTATCTACAAAGCTCAGTCATCTAAAACATAATTCAATAATTACGATCAGAGTGGTCAGCAAAAAAACATGATAGACTAACTAGTATTGTATGAAGTTTAAAGTTCACTTGTTACTTCATAAGAAAAAACATTATCACTCCTCTGTGTTCTGCTATATGGTTGCGAAACATGGCCAGTGAAGGTGAAAGACTGAGAAGGCTTCAAGTGTTTGATCACCGTTGCCTCCGTAGTATGGGCCGTATTCCGTAGTATCACCATGTGAGTAACTCAGAAGTTTGGGTTTGAGCCATGTGGGGCAATGCAGACTATCCGGTTCAGGTCCGCGGGACAAAAAGAACCAGTGGTTGGAGACTCTAGGTGATATGGTTCGGAACTGATGTCAGTGGTACAGATGTGTACACATATTATCATCCTAACGCTATACCAAATCTCACCATTTTCTCATTTTTTCTTTCTCTCTATTCGTACTTTATATTTCGTTTGATTGAATTTTTTTAATCTTCATCTTCTACTTTACTACTATTTTACTTGATGTAGTGATGTGAGCTATGGCAACTTAGACGTTTCGCAGTAATACCTGGTCCTAAGTTGGTAGTTTTGATGATGGTGATGATGTATCAGATGCTCAATCTTCCATAAGAATTATTTTTAACGCTGTTCCTTGAAATTCACAGAATTTAATCCTTACATATTGATTTATATACTCAAACAATAGTATGGTTTTGTGTTGCATTATGCAAAATAATTTGAACTCAAAGCTTTGCGAATAGCAAACGTTTGAGTTATTTACTATACGAATAACAGTTTAATGAATTTCAGTGGGTTGTAGAGCACTTTTCAAATTAAGTTAACCATCAGTTTTAATTAATCAGAGAGAACCATCTGAAGCTACAAAAGAACACAATTTCGCAGTTTGAGCTTCGTTACAGTACATACGCCACATCACATAAAAATAACTTATTAGGGTTTTGTAACATGTTAGAATCATTTAAAGTAGTAGACTGAAATCTTTTGATGGCTGCCTTTCAACTTTACTTATGATGTGTAGTAAATCAGTGACATAAATGGATATCTGTTCTCATTTTCAGCTTCGTTATTACACAAAATTTAACAAACAAAAATAAATTATGATAATCTATCTTAAAATAATCAAATAAGAAGACGTGGTAGTCAGTCACCTTAGCTGACACACTGAGGATGCGATGGTTTAGTTTATCCAAATCAGCTTTACGACATGATAAACAGTCAAGTATGGTTACTTTGTTCGCACAACAGTACTAATCAAAAATCAAAGAACAAAACGGTTAGTGCTTATTGGCCAATAGCTCAAAATGTTGAATTACATTTTAACCACATTCTGTGAAATATGTTCTGCTAGTGAAATCCATAATTCTCAAAGTTTGTGTAACACGTAGCCTCAGTTTTATCCTTGATAAAGTGTAGAATTATATTGAAAGTCTATATTAAGTAGTGAACTAAACTAAAACATGTTAAGGAATTCAAACCTGACTCGATCACAAATCACTGATGAAGTCACTAATAAATCAACCATCCTAATATAATTTATGAATATCAAATCGTTCCTCATTTATCCCTTTTACTGCCTCGTTCAGCTTATTGTTTCCTACTGATCCCTTCGTAATTATGGGAGATGAATTAATAACGTCATCCATATTCCTACATAACCCCATACGTCATATCTCATATTCAAAAGTCAAGTATATCACTTGTCTACCTTGATCTAGGTGGAATAACTATTTTGAAACCCATCGCTGTCAAGTTAGCAGTCAACCTTCTGAACGAGTAAGACACCACTGAAATGGTAACAACTTAAACCGATATCATACTGTTTCATATTGATTCCAACAGATAAGCATGTGAGAACTCTTCCAAATTCATATTTATGACTAGTCATTGACACACGGACTTTAGATAATAGTTTTGTGCACATCAGCACACATTACAAAAACGTACTGTATACTCTAGTACTAACTAAAAGGTATTCACGAAATGAATAAAATTACAGCGTAGAAGAAAAAAAATATTTATCTGGTATAATTTAATCAGTAGTATGTATGTAAATCATTGAGAGAAAAAGTGCAACACATACACTCAACAACAAAGAGAATTATATAGTGAGTAGAAAAGAAATCATGATATCAGCTGTTTATTTTCAAAAATATTTTGCCTGGAGAACGATAACTCAAAAACACTTGATTATTGAATGGAATGGAAAGATGAATGAACAAAATGTGCAAACCAAAAAGACGTAACATTTTTTTCAATTTGAAATAATAAATAGTCTCATCACAGTTACAATGAAAGTATATCAATTTGTAGGTGCTTTCAGTTGGTCTTCTTTTTCTTCTTCTTCTTCTTCTTCTACATTTTAGTTGAACACAATGTCACAAGATGAAGACGGTAATGAAAGCGGATATTATCGGTTTTCTTAAATTTCCTATTCAAAATCACGATATCTTCTTGGGACAGAATTATAAAAGCACATATGATATTCTGGAAAACAGCGACAACGATGATATTTTTGATTTCTTCACTGCCTGAAGGTACAAAACTCATAAAATACCATTCATTACAACCTAATTCCTGGCATAATTCAAAGCACTTCTTAGCTGTCGGCACAACACACATGAAATTTCCAGTAGCTAAATAATAAAATGAAACGGAACTATTATCATTACTAATCAATATTTTTTGACTGAATACATGAAATAAAGCACCAGTACATTTTACCTATGATAAAGAGAATTAAGACAATTATACGAGATTTGTCACATCCTGTATATAGGAATCCCTCTACTTGAGATCGATGCTTGAGTTTTATATTGTTTATGACCTAGTGATAAGTTTAAAAATAGGTGTCAGCTGTCAGAATGTCTATATTCTTTCAAACTACTCATTCAAAGTGAATTCCAAACATGAGCCATTATTAAAAATTATGAATCGTTAGTTTGTTTACTTGTAGGCATCACGCTAAGTATTGTTTCGAGAAAATAAATGGTGTTCAACTTTTTATATAATTCCTATGCAACCATAATTGTTCATTCGTGTGATGAAACGAGATGATGGAAAACCACAAGTATGCAATCAGGTAACAAATGAACAAAGATGGAATTCCAATCCTTATTATTAATTTAAACCAAATGATGCGACATTTATTGCACTGAACTTTACCACTTAGTTACTTAAGACGTTGGTTTACTGTGCTTTCTTAAACTGAATAACTCTTAATACTTTCAAGTGGGAATAAATTTGGGGTCAACAGCGGGCTTAAACCCAAACCCACGAAAAAAAGATGTGATAGGTATGATATAGTAAATATGGTATAGTGTCTACTGTGCTGATCTAGGCAAACAAGTTGATAACTTAAAGTATATCTCTTATTTGACTCACAGAATACTTGCGAATAAGTAAATACATCTGCAGCATGACAAGAATTTCAGCCGTGGAAAGCAAAGATAAGTTAGTATATACTTCGAAATTATCTTCAATAGTCTTGTACAAAAATGGAAACGTTCACGAAAAAGTATGCTAGGTATGGTATGTTGCATTCTGAATTGTATTCATACTTCTTAAAACCAAATAAACAGCTTTAAGACCTCATGAGAAGTATAGTAAACAATTGAACAAATGCACAACAAATCATACAGTTAAATTAATTAAACAACAATTTAATAGAACACTGACTGCGTTCAACTGTATGTCAGTATCACGTTGTAATATTTTTAAGGTGGGAGTTGTGAAGTTAGGTATTTTATAGAGATGATCGTATTGGACGAAATAATTATATAACTTCCCTATTCATTTTGGCTCCTGCCTTTGTACAATAATATCTCAGTAGTAGAAATTGCTTGTGACTTAGTTGTTCAAAAGGTTAAAAGGAAATTTTTATCTCTACTAGATGCTTATCAAATGAAAATATTTAGCATGAAACAACCGGTTTTTGTCATTAAAACCCCCAAATGTAGTATGTTTCATAAAAGTAATCAGATACGAGTAACTATCGAGAAGCCAAGAACTTGGATACTAGGTTGATTTTCATTCGAAATATATATACTTCCATGCCAGGTTTATCTCCTGAAATATATGCTACATATCTAGTACAGTGTGACTAAAAACGGTTGTTGGTCAAATCATCAGTATTTCAATGTGGAATTATTCAGAATACAATAAATTCACTGAATCTTATTTGACATCACTTTAAAGAATCAAATATTTGCGCTTCAATCGGCTTGATTAGTGTAAAAAGCCATCTTCATCATTACTCATGATCAATGTTAGACAATACATTGCAAAATAAAATTCATCACTGAATGAAGTAATTATATCGCACAATTTAACTGCAATTGTTTTAATCTATTGGTATTTTTTAACACGAGCCAGTTTTAAATTTTGAGCGAAACAGACAAAAGGAAGTTGCAATACACTCTCAACAGTTGATTGGAAATTAATGGAATACATCAATGCTTTTCATCTTCTTATTTCAATTCACAAGTTAAAAATAGTGCCAAATATTTTTATGGAACTACTGGTACCGAGAGATTATCCATTTGCCACTTGTGAAAGTAGTTTCATTAACTATAAGAAATAACCCATCCTACACACACACACACTGTTTTTCAAGTTTGTGAGATTGTATGCAGACTGTCCATTCAGTCACTTGTATTCACCTAAAACTCATTGTAATTTTTACCCTTGAGAACATAGTTCTGTGAAGATTATGAGTAAGTTCGAAACCCAAGTGGAATTCCCACATTAACGTCAACAATTCTTTAGTTTAAGACGGTTTCGTTTCCTAACCTGATTTATAGTTGTTAGAAGGGTAAACGAAAACAGGATTCAAATCTTCGTTGGATGGGGGCAATGAGCCGGCAGCCATGATTGATCCTCTTTGTACTCATCGGTAAGACGTATCTGTAACCTTAACCAAACAGATGTCATGCATAAGATTCAAATATGCATCATCCAGTACTGCAGTCAGAGACGTTACTGCTGAATAGAGACGCTGAGGAATAATCATTTGACAAAAACTAAATAGTTGCATCAAGTTTATTTCAGATTATTCTTAGAATGAAATAGCATTAATGAAAGAGGTAGGGAGACTATCCAACCGATGCATGAAAGTTGTTTTTCGCTTTCCACCTTTAGGAGAAATTAGCAAACGGGTAGGCTGGGACTGAGATTTTAGGAAAGTCTAACTGACAGAATGAATGATGAAGGGAATAGGTTTACCATACATGCCTGGTTATTCAAATCAAACAGTTTCTTGAAGCTTATTCATCACTGAGATCCTAATCAAAATTATCCATCGTGACATGTTAGTCATTAGATTAATTTTATTAGAAATGCAGTCCTGGTCAACTTATACTGATTTACTATAGGGCTAAGCTTCAGAATCCATATTATTTGATATAATGCCTAGTTTAAACAGGCAAATAATGTCAGTTTAATTTTACATGAAAGTAAATCACATTAAGATAACGAATCTGAGTTCGGATGTCAATAGGAACACAACCAGTCACTAAGGTGCAGTTTCATCAGGCTGATAATCCCTAAATAGATTGAAACACAAATTCTGGATTCCAGTACTAGCCACAATCAAGTAAATTACAATGATAATTAGATAATCTGCAGTTTATTACTGGTAAGTTTATTTACCTGTTTAAATGCATGTCAGTTTCTAAGCAATTCTTTCAACATTGATTACTAATACACATCATTTTAAGTGTAATAGCTAATGCATACTTAGAGACTTCTATAGTATTCTAATTTGTAGAGAAAGTTTAGTCCTTAAATATTGTTTCAGTTAATCTGGGTGGCTAATGAGGATAACTGGAGGCATTTATTTGGACACTATGCAACATTTGTTTTCTAAAACCTTACATGACAGATTATATACTGTAATCCAATTCTATTGACTTCATCAGTATTTGCAGACAAATGATTTCATTCGGCAGACAGTCAGTTTTCTGGTCCGAAGAGAAGGATGAGACTGTGCAGTACACTGAAATAACGTCTTGTTGATTTACTACCCGAATTATACTCTCCTAAATAATTGTCACACGGATTATTTTTAATTTGTGTCTGGATTAAGCAGCATAGTTTATTAACGACATTAAACAGTTTAACTAACTGAATTCCGGAATGGTTAACATACTTGTGATTAAAAGTGCAAAATTTTAACTTTTTTTATAATTATTCGACTGATAGCCACTATTTAGAAGTGAGTAATATTGCCATCTTACCAAAGGAAGATGAATAGCCTTTCTATAAATTTGGTATTCCAAACATAAATCTGGACATGAAAATCAGCGAAAAATCTGACATAGAAGTGCATTAGATCAGATTATCCTGCTTCATGTTAGCATGCAAAGAATAATGACATTGAAAGACTTATATTAAGATAAACAAAAATATATGAGAACCAAGAGGATCAATTGATAGGAGCTGATAAAAATATTGCAGATTTTAAAGATGGTTGTCGGGATCTCAGTCATATCAGACACAGATTGCAATTATTTATTCTTATCGTCCTCAGGAACTCAACCAGACAGTTCACATATTCCTACCCCACCTACACAAATACTCAGAGACTATGTAGTCCAGTACCATATCTTCATTTGACCACCCTCAACTCTCTTTCAGATCAAAATGTGGCTACAACTAATGAAGTCTCTGAATGCTATACTAAGCCAGATGGTGAAGTCTGTCTGCTTGGAGTTGACTTGTTTTTATTCTAATTTATTGCTGTCATGCAATTTCACCATTTTAACAGGTTTTTAACTGTTTTTACAGAAACTGAAACTATCTTCGGCTGAATAGTCTTTATAATGTAGAGAAATAAATCACGATGACACATTTAGTTATATAAATAAACAAATTAATATGTGCCCAAAAAAGAGAACGGCTTACCATTATGAAATCGATAGTTCTCGTTAGGACATGGTCTTGTAAACTTCAAACCCTTGAGTAATATTCCGTTAGTACTTAAAGCTGAAATTTAAAAATAAAAGAAACAGAAAGAAAAAAGAAAGTAAAAAGTTTACTTCTTCATTCCCTTCACTTTTTGTTTCTTTTTTTAAGTTCTCTATTTTTTCAAAAATATCCTGGTAGTAATTAGGTTTACTGTTAAAACTTTCTTGTATAATAAATGATAATAATAATAATAATAATGACGTCAAAGAAAAGTGCTTTACTTTTTTGGGGTGTATATATATTTAGTGTTCCTTTTATCTGGCTGATAATCCCAGGATCATTGATTCTAATCGGAATGTTGTGAAATTTTTTCCCATTTTCAATTCGTTCACTATCCTGTTACATAATTAAATATTAATCTATTGAGTAACATGTGAAAACAATCCGGTTGGGGTATCATATTACTTTTATTTAGCCATTAACCACTTTCTACGCCGGAATGTAGTCGAATGTGTTTAACTCTATGAATGAATAACTTTAAATGAAAAATATTTACACTGATGAGTTAAAAATCAGTGAGCAATTTTAACTAATTTCTAAACTGATACAGTTGACTAACAGACAATTCAGATGTTATATTACGTAATAATCCAACTCCTTAGAAGCACTAAACACTTGAATAAACCTGTGTGAAGACAGTAATAATATACACTTAAAATATCATAATACAGTTTTCTTTTATGACAGTTTTTTAACACTGAGTTTGTGCTTCCATTCAGTCATACAAGTTCATACATTTCAGTAATTATGAAAATGTCAAGGCAGTTAAAAAAGCATAATCCTTTGACTTATTCAATGAAATCCCCCAATACTTCTTAATTGTGATGAAATAACTTAGCCAGTCTCATACAATAGTAATAATACTACTCATTGATGCTAAACAAAATTTACTGCATATAATAAAGTATTAAATTACTCACCTAATCCACATATATGTATACTGAAATATAAAACAGTCCCGACTAGGAGAGATAATTTTAAGGAAAGTGAGATTGTAGACCTTCGACTACACAACATTTCTTCCTCTTCTCTTTGTATTGTTTCACTTCTTTTATATATGAAAGTCTGTTCAAGAATTGTTCGTGTCTTGAGGAAGAGTTAGAAGTGTTAACTAAGTAATGACCAATTTTCCGTGTCTTATATATGCATATATATATATATATATATATATATGTATAAATCTATGTGTGTATAGTATTTTTTGTTTTTCTTATTGTTGTTGTCGCTGTTGTTAGAAATTCGAATACAAACCCTCTATTGTGTGCTTAAGTAGTCTGACCGTTCTATACTTAGTTCAAGATAGATAGAGACACTATGCTTTACTGGAAGGATAAATGTTGTTATTTATGACAGATTTTATCTTGAAAAGAACTTGAAATAATAATAACAATACCAATAATAATAGTAATAATGATAATATTGGCGACAATATTATTACTACACGTTATCACTCGTGTAAAACAGAATGAGAGAATTGTTTTATCAGAGTGGGCGGTTGTACAAATTTGAACCAATCAGATTCCAGTAGGAAAAAAATGGTCGTTTACATGCGGTGAATAATATTGTACAAGACTGTAGGAATATTTTGATAGATGTCGTAATATATATATATATATATATATATATATATCATGAACCTTTTCAGTATTATGCAGTGGAGTCATGGAAGTAAGATAGAAATAGCGGCAAATATTTCATGAGCATCCATCTCAAGCGTTGAATTGAATCAACTGGTAGATGTAGGCATTCTGATAGACAGAATCTTCAACGATACGATTTCTTCTTTCATTGATCTCTCTAATTTATTGAAACCTTTTATTTTACCCCTTCTTTCATCACATATGTGAATTTAAAATAGTAAATGAAGTGAGAATTTATTTCTGGCCATACCAACATAACAGATTTTCCACAACACTATACAAATCATATAAAAAGGAGTAAAGCTTATTAGTAGGAAAGCCCTGAATACCATAAAGCGTTCAGCGTTCATCTAAGTAGTGTATTAAGACAATCCGTCTTTTGGAATATTTACATTAGAAATATTGAATTCAACTAAGCATATTTCGTATTCATGAACATTATTTGTTGAATATCCCCCAGTCTCAGAAAAAACGTTTGCCATCTTTTCATCAACTGCTAAAAATACCTTTATTATTGTACCTTGATAACTGTAACTACTTAGAATATCACTGTTAGCTTTATTATGTATGGTTATATAAAAAGACTAACTTTTATTAGTAGTCCTGTCCACGTCTATTTTTATATTTTGCGGTTCATTCCCCGCATAAATTGTTCCAGCCAACCAAAACAATAACTACCATACTTGCTTTCTATTCAGTTCAGTTTAGTTCATTATAGTTGAAAGGTATGGCTCAAAATATCTTGTAAAACAACCGTCGGAGATTGATATTTTGCACAAGAAGGTTGACTTACAGCAGTAGCATGACTATATTGTTAGTCAAGTGATGTGTACTGATTACAGGGCTAAAATACATTCAAACGTCCCCATCATTTCGCAAAAATATGGGGAATAAACACGAAGATGTCTAAAATAATGAATTATCCAACACTTGGAGAAAAATGAGTTAGTATATTTCTGCTGAGAAATAATAATTTTGTTGTATACCACTTATTATATAAATAGTGACTACTTTATGTCAGTGATAGACAGAATTAGCCAACCTACGCTAGTTAAAACTATTGCTTTGCAAAACAATAACTTAAATTAAAGGCTTCCTTGTTTTTCAAGTTGACCAAAAAGTTAAATCGAGGGCTGCTTGCAGGCTGATAAAAGTTTCTGTTGCACTCAACTGAATTCTATCCAATGAAAACTGAAACGTGAGCAGCAAGTCTAAAGGCTACCTGATACAATACACTGGTGACATATTTTTTCATTTGTATGCGATCTATGAAAGAAGAGCACAAAAAGACAGGCAAGAAAATGTAATCGCAAGGTATCTTATCAATAAAGTATCGATTGGTAGACATAATTATTTTGTAAAGTCCTAAAATAGTCTTAGAAATTACTTTTTAATTGAATACGTTATACATTGTATAGAATGTATTTCTACTTGTGTAATCCCGGCGTAGTAATATTAGAACAAATAACAAAATAAACATATATTTTGTATTATTCCTCAACGTTTCGATCTTGCTAGGAAGATCCTTTTCAAGAGTATGAATCTGAATGCGTTATACTTGAGAAATTTACCTCGAAACATGACATTATATAGCATAAAACATTTAAGCTTATGATAAAAAAGGGGTGGATTATCCCATGTTGAGTTCTTAATATCTACGCATACTACTTTGTTTACTGAAAAATAGGCATATTTAAACTTCTAAACGATGATTACGAAGAAGGAAATATTGACAAACTAAAGAAGACTGTTTCTTAATCACTAAAAATTATATCTGAAACTGTGTGAATCTAGTTTTTCAACTTCCATGACAACTTTTGTAATACAAAGCATTTTTCAAAGGTGTCTTACTCATAATGTCACTGAACTAATGCATATATGCTTGATAAACGTAGCCGCAATAGACGTTGGTACTGTACTGATCGATGACTTTGTTCTCTAGGGACTAACGTTTTGTGCTTATTGAACATACTATTTTTCATATATCTGTCTCTTATACGCGTTTTTTTTCAAAAATAACGCAGTCATCCTATGGTATAATAGCAACTGTTTCTAAGAATTTTGATGCATTTAAGAGATAAGAAGAGGTTCCATCTTACTTAAAAGTTTACAATACCAATTTTTAGCTTTAAATTTCGTGTTATCTTTTGGTTTTTAACATAAGCACAATACTTCCTGATGACCTCTAAGCTGACTTTCATCTTGTTTTGCTTTTATATCTTTCACATTATAGTACTGGCTAAGATGACTACCACTGCTCAACTTTATCAGGTTCTTCTACTCGCTTTTCTGCAATGACATGACTGCTGTCAAGATGAATAGTAACGCATAGTTTGCTGTCAGAAAGTAAATGGAAGCTAACTGCGAAACTACATTTCAACATTCCCGTGAGTGTAATGTAATCATATTTAAAATCATGATCTGTGATTACATGAATTTTGTAACAGGAAAAAGCACTGAAGATTTAAAAAGCGTGTATTGCGCTGGGACATGAACAACTGTAAGCAGTTTACATAAATCAGGAGTTCGTGCCAGCCAGACATAGGAAGTGTTGAAAGCTTACACACCATCCCAAGTTATTTCATCAGCATTTATAACTAGTTCAGATCACACCCTGCTTGTCTTTGAGAAAGATTACACTGAGAACATTTCATCGAGCTTTTTGAAAGCCATTACTATTACAGATTATTCTACTGAGTTCATAAGACAGAACAGAGGAGTTATTATTGTTATTTATCATATTATTTATCCCTCGGGTTCTTAGTGGAACATAGGACCTCAGTAGCACGTCTCCATTCCACTCTGTTCTCTGCAATCTTTTCAACCTGGCTCCACAACTGTCCACAAGCTCTCATTTCTTCCTCACACTATCTTCTCTATATCACCCTAGGACGCCCAACTCGTCACCAACCCTTTGGGTTCCACTGTAGGGCCTGGTATGTGATGTCCTCGAGTGGTCTTCTCAGTGCATGCCCAATCCAATCCATCTCCACTTCCTTCTGCATATTTGTTGAGCGATGGCTTCTTGGTTGGTTCGTTGCCAAAGTTCCTTGTTGCTGATTCTTTTTGGCCATCTAATCTTCAGTAACGAGCGTAGGCAGTTGGTGGTGAATATCTGTAGTTTGTTGGAAATGCCGTTCGTAACGCGCCAAGTCTCTGAAACATATAGAAGCACTGACCTAACTTTAGTATAAGAGTTATTGCAATGATATAACTTATTTTTAAATACATTCTTACATATTTATGTTTCTTGCGTGTACGCTGCACAAAATATAATGTGAAACAATTTCACCTTCAATTGCGCTACAGTTTTATTAGTCTTACAGTAATATTCATAATATAGAGTCTACTTAGATTAGGCGCCAAACAGATTATTTTCGCGATATTTTCCTATGTGTAATTTTGCTGTTTGCCTCCATTAACTCAATGTCTTTTACAGCCAAACTATTTTTATCGTTAAATACACATTCTTAATATTTGGAAGGTCGTTTAATTTTTCACTTTGCGTAAATGTTATTATGTGATGATAGTTTTATGTTGTACAGAACCCTAGTTTAAATCGAATTCTGTAATCCCTATGCAGCAAAATGATTGCAACACAACGTAATATATCTACTGGGGAGAACAAGTAAGAAAATGATCTTACGAAGGACATAATTGAACATGCATTTGCCTACATAAAATGAACCAGTCTAGTGGATGCAGTTAGGGAAAATATCCCATAAGTAAACATACCGTAAGCTTAGTTGATTCGAATTGTAACTGAGATTTTAGGACTTAAAATGTGGACTTTACGTCCGCCATGCTCACCATTAAGAATCTCGGTTTATTTCGGGCAGGTATAGCTTTACAGTAATTCGAGTAAATGAGAAAGAGAACTTTTTTAAAACAATTTTTCCTCAAGCTGTACATTTGTATATATATATATATATATATATATATATATATATATATATATATATATATATATATGACATTAAGAGACTGTAATCAGTGAGGAAATCTAAGTTTAAATAATGCGCGACTGACATGAACAATGATGGTTATGATTACAACATTGTCAATTGATGAAGTAAAAGTTGAATGACAACAAAAGGGGGTTACTTAAGATTTCGAGATCGCTCATAGGGTGCATATACATAAAAATGAGGTGAAAACATGGTGAAACCAACAAGCAAACAAAGTATTATTAATAATATCAGTGTGACAATTTAATTACAATGAAATGAAGGCTTTTTCGTTCAGAGTTGCATTTATCAGAAAAAGTAATACTTGGAGTAGCACCACAAACCGTTTAGTGTAAAAGTTATTCTAGTAGTGACGATGCAAGAGTACAAGGATTAATAAAATAAAGCGAAAAATCGTAAAACCAAAGGG